ATTGGGTTACTTACTTCTTTTCATGGACAAGAATTATTTCTCTCTCATATACTAATCCTCTCATATCCTTCACATACTTACATCCCACATTGTGTTAGATCAGGTTCCGATGCTATTGTATTTATGCAGGCATTCTTCACTGTTGACCCTTGCAGCAGGTTCCGATTGCATCTCTTACCCTACAGCTTGTTTGTGCCTTCTGTTAACAGTTCCCACATTTCCAGTAGTCTATTCTGTATGCTCGATGATTACCATACTTTAAGCTTATAGTGAGAGCTATAAAATTTTTTACAAAGCATCAGGTAAGCTCCTTGTTATGATTTAAAGACAAAGCCTGTCCCCAAATGCTTGTTACTGAAAGCATGGTGTCCGGCTGGCAGTGTCACCTGGAAACATTAGGAGGAAGTTTGCAGTGGAGTATGTAGGGCACTCTAATGAGTCCTTGTGGGTATCTTGTTCCAGGCTGCCACTTCTCTCTTCTGACAGTGCCCACATTAATGATAACCTCAGAGGGGCCAAAATATGCCCATGTTGCTTAAAGGAATGTAAACATGGCATTTCCTCTTGGATTAATTTGACCAAGAGCTAGTTCAAATTTGAATTATCTCTTCTACCTGCATCTTCAGCCTGTCTGTTAGATGCCTGGCACTCTCCTGTCTGAATCTATTGTATCTATCCATTTTATCCGTAACAAAGAGATGTGCATTGTGTACTGAACAACACAGAAATCATTGCAAGGGGACGAGGTTAGAGATTCTTTCTGGACATCTTTAACAGAGTTTTACAGGGGGAGAACTTACCTTACTGATCTGTACTGATCCAAAATAGTAAACAACACTGCAGACAGACATTATTAGCTGTATCTATTTTTCTCATAACCTTTATGGTGGATATTTATTGCGTAAGTCTGCTTTCAAACTTTTGGCTACTTTAGTAAATGGTTATCATCACACAAACATACACACATACATTATCCAAGGTCAGAAGATGAGAGCATTTAATTTAAAGCTATACATTAACTTAGGTTCTAAAGGTATATGCTGCCTTTGTTACTTTTCTGTTGTTGTGAAAAGACACTGCGCTAAAGGCAACTTATAAAAGAATACATTTAATTAAGGGGTTGCTTACAGTGTCAGAAAATAAGTCAAAGACCACCGTGGCAGGGAGCAAACCAGCAAGCTGAAAGGCACAGCACTGGGGTGGTAGCTGAGAGTTTGTATGTTATTCTTTTAAGTTGTAGATAGAGACAGAAAATAGGAGACGAAGCCATATGTGAGCTTTTAAAACATCAAAGCCACCCCAAATGAAACACCTCCTTCAAAACCTCATGCTCTTTAATCCTTTTTACAACAACTTCCACCAAATATGAATACAGCATTCAAATATATAAGTCTGTGGGGGGCATATATTTTAACCATCAAATATAGAAACTTAAAGGGATTGCACTGCTCTTTTAAAGGCTGGCTAATCAGAAAGAGGCTGACTACATGGTAGGTGTTTGCCAAGTCTTAAGTGATAGCAAGGAGTATCATCAACACTCCTGTGAGGTCCTACAAAAGTTTCATCTCTCCTAGTGTAAGAAACATGTCTATTGAAGCAAATTACCACAGTCTGTACTTTTGCTGGTTTCCTGCCACGAGGGAAGAGACTACTCTGCTATAGACGAGGACACCACGATGTTTTGCCTATCCTAAAGAGGTCCACCAACCACGGGCTGAAACTTCTGAAGATGTAAGTTAAATGAAAGACGTCCCTCACCTAAACTGTTTGTGTCAGGCATTTTGTTACAGTGTGGGAAGAAAGCACAACATTGCTCGGTTAGCCATGTTTTTATTACCAATGATGGACAGTTACAAATTGTTGAGGTTGGTGTAGTACATGAAAACATATGAACCTAAGTACTCTGGCTTTTGTTGGAAGTTATATTCAGAAAACAGATTTTACAAATAGATTCGTTATCTCTATATTGTTATCACTGAAAACTTTTAAAATTTACTATGAAAGGAAATTTATTCATAGTCATAAAAGTAGGTATAATTATGGAAAAATTACCAGGTTCTTACACTATGAATTGATCATGGGAACTGAGGGCATTACCTGGGAAATCCCTCATAATGAGATGTTGCATTTGTTAATACAATCCAAAGCTTAGTACTATTTACTTGAATTTAGATGACTGTCTCATTGACTGTATATCAGAAAGGCTCAGGAAAATAATATAAATTAAATATGGCACATATCTTAGTAATATTTCACTCAAATAATATAGAATATGGTGATTGTAAAACCTAAATTATATCTAAAAAAACAAACCCAAAGAAAGTCAAACGGAAGAAGGCAGCATAGCTGCAAGGTTTTGATTGGCATTTTAATAAAGGAGAAGAGTCGGGGAAAGAATGGGCAGCACTATCATCCTGGGAAGCTGTCCAGCATCAACTGCTCGGGCACAACCCACTCTGAATAGAAAGGTAAAAAGGAACAATTCAGGATGGTATTGAAAGGTTTAGCTACAGGAAAAAAAATCTTTTAAAACTCTTCAAATGTTATTTCCTGCTTTGTATATGAGTTTTTAAGCCCCAAAGACACATATTTTACTATCATCAAGCCCATTGTGGTATCACTGTAGTCAGAAACTCTTATTAAACTGGTTGCTACTGTGTTTTGGGACTTATAATACTTCATTTAAAAAAATACAATACATACACCATATGATATATGAATCCCCTAGTAGGAGTGGTGGCAATATTCTAATCAAACAAATTTTGTTTGATTTTAAAAATTAATTTTAAAAATTAAAATTTACTACTTAAGGAGCTTCTGGTCACATTTTGCTACCAACCTATTTTATATGAAACTGACAAGCATTACCCAAACACAGCAGGACAAACAAAAAGAAACCCTGCATTCACTCTGAGAACACTTTAAATTTTTGAATTGTATTCAAGATACTAGAGATTTGTATTTGAATATCATGACCTAATAAACAAGGAAACAGCAGTTCATTTAATTAAATAGTGGACAATAAATAAATAGGAGGATTTAATTCATTTAAATCAAAATAAGTTTATTTACAAATATATTCAAACCTTATAGAACCTAAGTGGAGGGCTGGTGCTTGGCTATGGCTGGGAAGTATACAGGTATGACCAACCTGGATACGCAGAAGATGAGTGTGAAACATAGGATGAACCAGCCAGTATCATGTCGGTGGATGTCTTAGTGCTAAAAAATCCTGGAATGAATGGCACACGGGCTTCTGTCATACGCAAGAGGGCCACAAGTCCTTAACTGGGGAAGATGAGTCACAAATGCTGCTGTCACTACTTCCTTCCTTATTGTCTCCATAAATAAATGAGCCCAGCACAGGCTCCATGAATAGACCATTGATAACTTCTAGCCTCCCTCTAACTATGTAACACCTGCACTATGTTGAAAGAACAGGAAAGGGGAATAAAAAGAAAACAGGCTGGAAAACAGGAACGCCTCACTTGTTGTTTTGTCTGAATTACCTAAAGGAGAGGAAAATGCAATCTAATATTAGAGACTTAAAAATAAATGCCATTTCTTGTGAAAACAACAAGTGTTCCAGACGAACCTGTGTAAAAGTCTGAACTAAATGCAGGCGCTTAATTTCTTCGCTAGAGAAAGAAGTAAAGAGACCAGAAGATTCTAAACATAGTAAAGAAAGAAAAGGAGGAAAATGTGACATAATGAAGCAGTCAAGCAGCAGACTCCAGAAGGCACCGTGTTTTTGGGGTCAGTCATGGCCACTTGCAAACAGTATGCTCTTCAGAGAGATGTGTGGGCCTCACAAGGCAATGCAGACAACTGTGCTTGCATACAAAATGTGCATTAAAAATGAGAACGGTTGACTCTGCACACAGGTACAATGAACAAGCAAGTCACAGTACATTGTGGAAAGATCCTTTCTTCTTAAATTTAATTAAGATATATAAGCTTACGAGACTGTGATGGTACATGCCTTTAATCCCAGCACTTGGGAGACAAGGGTAGGTGGATATCTGAGCTTGAAGCAAGCCTGGTCTAAAGAGCAGGTTTAAGGGCAATCAGGGTTACACACAAAGAAATTTTGAAATTGTGTGTGTGTGTGTGTTTGTGAATATATGTACCTATATGTTGTTTTAGCTAGGGTTTCTGTTGCTTCAAAGAGACACCATGACCACGGTAACTTGTATAAAGGAAAACATTTAATTGGATGGCTTACAGTTCAAAGGTTCAACCCAACATCATCATGATGGGACATAGCAATGTACAGGCAAAAATGGTGCTGGAGAGGTAGCTAAGAGTTCTATATCTTGTTCAGCCAAAAGGAAGTGAACTGAGATATTGGTCATGACTTGAGCATAAATCAGACACCAAAACACACCTTCACAAACACTTCCTTCCTTCCACAAAGCCACACCTACTCCATCAAAGCCATACTTCCTAATAGTGGCACTCTCAATGAGCTTATGGGAACCAATTATATTCAGAGTATCACCCAAGTAAACATAAAATGTATATGTGCATGTGTGTACATACTAAATGCAAAGAGGCTATTAGTATTACCAATAATATTTGCCATCTTTTTGGTGGGATATTACATATTCTCTACTAACTATGTATCATGTCACAAATTCTTAAAACTTGAAGTGAAATTTCTATTCTCAGAAATGTCTCAGAGCAAGGTAGGGAATAGGTTCTGCAATGCAAGCTTCAGGGCCACTTTTGGGTCTTCAAAATCTGTAAGGAAATGTCAGGTAGGGTGGCACACACTCGCTATGGTCTGAACATGAAGGAGGACAGCCGGTGTTGCTGGCCGACCTTTCTACGCACCCACCCATGTGCAGAAGCACACATTTTTAAAAAGACGTTTCTTAAAGGATTACCCATATTATAAAATTTTTGTTCACAACTGAAGAAATCGTTTATTTTCAGAAAACCATAGTTAATCACAGAAACAAATTAGTCAGAACAGTATTTGACTGAGATTTACTTACAGTACACATCCACTCGGATCGACTTTATTGCTGGGGACCCCAAGCCGTTCTCTGCTTTACAGTAATAGCGGCCACCTTGGTGTCTCTGAATGTTTGTAATCCTCAAAGTCTCATTGAAGACACTGGAGTCTTGGAATCTGTCAGAGGCACTTCCTGCTGTTTTGGTCCACCTGATCTGAGCAAGCATCAACAAAGATTGTTACTTTAGGTTGGTTTTCCGCAGACAATCAAACAGCAGTTATTCCTAGGATGAGCTGGCTTTCAGAGCCACTGCACAGCCTTTCTATGGCTTTAGTGAGAGATTAAAATATATGTCCCCAACTGAGTTGCAGAATCGCAGGTGCTAACCTCATCACCGTAGAGTGCAAGTCAGGTAGAACCAATGGCATGGAAGCCATCAGCCGTCTCACCAGACTGCAGGCAATGCCCTGCAGAAACAAGACTCAGCTTCTGTGTCTGCTGAGCATTCCAAATTTCCTTAAACATGTCTGAACTTTGTAAGGCACCTTTTTTTTTTGTGATTTGGATCAAATAGGCTCTCGTTTCTTTTGGGACATGCTTCATTATTTTATTTAAAATTTTCTCTTTGGTTTAGAAAATGTAGGCATGTTACCACAATGGCTTAAAGAGATTATGTATAATTTCATACACCTGGTTGTTAAAAGGGGTTTTGTTTTATGTAATGACTTTGCTTTAATAAGCCCACAAATGATTCGCTATTTTGAAAATTGGAATTCACTTCACATCAATAATTATTTTCAAAAAATGTGTAAACTTTTCAGAGAGTGCAATCCTATCAAACTGTCAAAACAATTTGAATATCTAAAATTGTCCATTATAAACAATACCATGCTTTTGAACACAGCTGTGAGCAACAGATTTTGTGTTTGCTAGCAATAACTACTGGTATTCAACTTAAATTTTGTGTGTTGTCATATATAAAACCTGAATAAAAGCCACATGTTACTGTTGTATAGTGCTGCAAGATAGAAGATGGAAACTGTTTGGTTTTATTTTTCTCTATGCTTTGCCCATGTATTGAAAAAATCATTTAGAATTTGGAAGCAACCAAGAGAAATACTCTGCTTAAATTTGTATAATATTAAGCACGTTGAAATATGGAGAAACCAAAGTAGGAGTTTTCAAACTTGAAGCTGTATAATCCTTAGCCACATCACTTTCACACACAGCACAATAAAATTTTAATATAATGGCTTTAAGTTGTCTTTAAAAAAGTTTTTCACATCATAAATTAGCAGGATGAAAATAAGCACGTTTACTCTGCACTGTAAAAGCAACAAAAATGTTTTCTAGAAAAAAGAAATAACCAATATTTGTTCAAATCTTGGTATGTGTATGGAAAAGTACAGGGAGTAAATGTATACTTTATAGACAAGCAGTTTGTCAATTATGTTATTTCTAAAATCTGTAATGATGGTGTTGGTATCACTGAAAAGTTTACAATTCTGTTTCAAATTAAATTTTAATATCTATAGGCAAAGAAATAAGGATTTTTTAAATTAATAAGTGACAGTTTTGTCTTTGTGTAGAGATTTTTATTTTATTAAAAAATGGATACTAAAATTTAAGTTACTAAAAAACAATTTTTTGCAAATGTTTCAAAATAATGTTAAAGCGGATTCAGAAAACTAAATACTTCAGAATATGAAAGGTCTGAATTAAAAGAGTTATAGATATGGTCTAAGTCTTTCAAATTTGTAAAATTAGGTTGTTATACATAATTTCATTGGGCAAAATTATTTTAGCCCTACATGTGGCTCGACAGAGCAGGAGAAGTGTGTGAGCATGTGCGGGACAGTGGAGAAAGGAAACGGGGTAGAGCAGGAGGGATGCAATCATGATTCTGAGACACAAACATCAACTTTTTGTTCACAGTTCACCTTAACATTTTTTAAAGTTGTTGAGGATCCCAAATTATTTTGCTCATTTTAATTTTATTCATTTATTTTTTGTTCATTTTACATACCAACCACAGTTCCCTCCCTTCCCCTCCTCTTGATCCCCTCTCCCACCCCAACCCCTATCCATACCCCAGAAAGCTAAGACCTCCCAGGGGAGTCAAGAAAGCCTAGCACACCAAGTTGAGGCAGGACCAACCACCGTCCCCTACATCAAGGCTGAGCAAGGCATCCCACCAAAGGGAAGAGACTCTAAAAGTCAGCTCATGCACCGGGGATAAACACTGGTTTTACTATCCGGGGTCCCACAAACAATCAAGCCACAAAACTGTCTCTCACATGAAGATGGCCTTGTTCAGTCCCATGATCACAATTAGGATAGTCACTAATCTGACTATGAGAAAAGGCCAGTTCAGGTATTTTCTCAACTCTTGCTAAGAGTCTTAGCTGGAGTCATCCTTGAGGATTCCTGGGAATTTCCCTCGCAGCAGGTGTCCCCCTAACCCCATAATGACTCCCTCTATAATGATATATCTTTCATTGCTCTCATTGTCCATCACTTCCCCAATTTGCCCATCTAGTTTCCTCATATTCTCATCCCCCATCCCCTCCCCTCGACCTGTCCTACCCCAGTTTACCCAGGAAATCTCATCTATTTCCCCGTCTTAGAGTGATCCATGTATGTCTGTCTTAGGGTCCTCCTTGTTATCTCTCGTCTATGGAGCTTTGTTTAATTATTTCTAGGCTTTTCTTTTTAAATTAGTTTTTAACTGGAGTAAAATCATATCACCTCCATCCATACTCTCTCCATCTTCTCCAAATATTCTCTTAACAACTCCTCCTATTCTCTCTCTGCTCTCAGGTTGATAGCCTATTTTTCATGATTTTTATTGTTACATAGATAGATGCACATGTAAACATACATATGCATGTGTGTGTGTGTGTATGTATGTAATGCAAAATAAAACAACTTTGACTTTTTCATCTTACTCTAGTCAGAATGACTAAGATCAACAAAACTGCTGACAACAAATGCTGTTGAAATTTTAGAAAGAGGACCCTGATTCATTTTGGTAGGGATGTAAATTATTGAAGCCACTCTTTACATAAGTGTTGAGGATGCTCAGGAAACTAAAAATAAATCTACTACACGCCACACTCATTGGCATATGCCCGAAGGACTCAACAACATGCTCCATAGATACTTGTTTAGCAATGTCCATTGCCACCCTCCTAAAGAGCCAGGAAGTGGAAATAACCTAAAAGTCTGCCAACCGAAGAATGGATAATAAAATGTGGTAAGTATATGCAATGGAACACTTTTCAACTGCAATTATCCATATTTTTGTTTAAAATAAAACAGTGTTAATCTATATGGCCTGTATTTTAAATACAGTCTTAAAGCTATGCCTTACTAACAGCAGTATGGCTTTTAATCAGAAACTTATGTTTTCTAAAACATCTAGGAGTGACATACTTTCCAACACTGTGACTCTCTTTAGTGTCCAGCTTAGGGGAACCAAGTTAGACAGAAAATCTGAATCCACACTTAAACTTATTCAGAAAGGCGTGACTATTCAATAGCCTTTTCAGAGAATTATGCATCTTCTACACTGAAACTCCACAAGTGGTCATTTTTCAATAGTTTTGCACAGTATAATCCAAACTACAACAAAAGTCATTCTATAGTCTATTACATGAATACTCATCAGTCATCATTGATCTTTTTGTCTGCATTATTTTGCAACATTGTATATTAGTCATTTGAGAAATACCCACTGAGCTAAAAAGGTATTTAAAAAGTTACTAGTACCAAACTTCACCATTATAGGATACAATTGAGATCACATGTAACAATTCCATCAAAAGGTCTCCTAATTAGAGCCTTTAAATGTCAAAAAGCCATTATACTGACTTTCCCAAATTATAATTTTTCTCTTAAAACCATGCCTTTTATCATCAATGAAAATATCTACATTGTTTTAAGACAAATAGGGCATGGTCAATTAATTCGTTAAAAATGCTTAGAAAATACACAAGTCAGAATCACCACACGTTTAATAGTAATCACCCTTTTTAAATTTAAATTTATTCATTTCTTTTTGAAGCAATTTTTCTCATTTTACATATCAATCCCAGTTCCCACTCTCTCTCCTCCTCCTGCTCCCTCTACATTTCCCCCACTCTAATGCTATCCACTCCTCAGAGAGAGTAAGCTTCCCAAGGGGAGTCACAAAGTCTGGCAAACTACTTTGAGGCAGGACCAAAGCCCTCTCCACTGTATCTAGGCTGAGCAAGTGACCCCTCCAAGGCTCAGGAAAAGGAAATGGATAGTTCATTACAAAACACAACCACACAGATTTCTTTCCTTGACAGTACTGCCCAGATTTGCAAACAATAAATTCTTCTTTTCTATTTTGTCACTTAGAATATTAAAAATAGTGAAGCTTTAGGAAATTAACATTGCTCACTTTTATGAAAAGATTTACTAGAGATATGCTTAAAATCATTAGAGTTTTGTGCTAAGGCATGTGGTAGTCAGGGGAAAAAGTTGACATCACTGTTTTGCTTTTGCTTGAATGACACATCCGCAACGCTCAGTTGCGTTACACCATCACTGTAAATGTTATACAGCAACAAAATATCTTTTTTTCCCCTCATAATCACTTTAAGGGTCACAAACCACTCCCAGAGATATTTGTAGCTATTATCTGGAACACACCTTTTGTTAAGAGTACAGAAACAATCCCATAAAATGAGATGTAAAAAAACTCACATTTGTGGCAATTTAGACAAACAGACAGAAAAGAAGATTGTTTACAAAGCAGTGTGAAGGCAACGGGATGTATATGTACAAGGAGGAAACAGTTGTTCTATAATTGGCCTCTTATGCTTAAAAAATTCCAGGTGCACTAGGGACTTAAATGTAGAAAACCGATGTCTTAACAATCCCTAAGATCAATGGTAGAAATTACTGTAGTACTATAATGATCAAGACTTCAAATCTAAGCATCCTAAATCTTGAAAAAACAATTCTGAACGAAGTCTTCTGCGTATATGTATGGTTCTGTAGATTGATGTTTTTGTGAGATGCCAAACAGTGGAGGAGGGGTTTCTGTGACTCTCTGCATGCTTCTGAGACCCTTTTCTCCTACTGAGTTTTCTTGTTCAGCCTTAATATGGAAGTATGTGTCTAGTCTTATTGTAGCTTGTTATGCTGCCTTTGGTTGATATCTCTGGGAGGTCTGCTCTTTTC